AAGGGCGCGAGAAATAGAGAAAATTATTCTTGAAACGACGTAGTTTATTAACTCGGACGGGTTTTAATAGCGGTACAAAGCGACTGCGACGGGACGCAACGTCGTCGCCGTTGAAGGAGGGCTGGGAGGTGCGTTAGCTACGACGATACTCCGTGCAGTAATCTACGTCAAGCGATAAGTAGCGGTTGGCTGGTTCCGCGCGGTGTCTTCTGCCTTAATTCAGAAACTACCGCACCCTACCAGTCGATGTACATCCCCATTCATAAACCCTTTAAAATTATAAATATTCTCAAAATAGATTACACTAAATCGAACTGCATACACTTTATGGTACATTTGCAGGCCTTCTTATCAAAATTTATTATCGTTAGTAACACCAAAACATAATTTATAGTATTTGATGCAAAGATTGAAAAAGTGCTGACATAATTAATGCACACTGAAAATCTGATTAGATTTTAAATATTGCAACTCGATAAATTTTATAATAAAAATCGTGATATTTTTTAAAAATCAGAGATTTTAATCACTCAGTGCTCGAGATTGGAAAGTTGCACTTGTGAACAGGAGTGTACTGCTCGGCAATCGTTTCTCACAACAAATGTATTCGAAACGGAAGAGAAGGGGCCTCCTCGAGCATCGTCGAGCAGGTGCATCCTCCTTCGTCGGTTGTAACAGCAACAGCCAGCACGTATGCATATTACAAGAGACTCGTACGTTACGCGGGTACCAATACGAAAGGTGGAACGTCGCCGGTTACACAGCTTTGTGCAGTCACGTTCGGTAATCGCGACGTTGTAAAACGGTCGAGCGCATTGCTCTCGTCTCCCTCCGACCAACGCAATATTGCATAATTGCTTGACACCGTCGCCTACCCTCGGGTTTACTGCCTGCGGTTCATCTTCGGATAAAACTATGATACCGTGAAAACCGGTAAAAACGTTACGTAGTAAACGTTGTTTTATCCCTCGGGGAGAAAGCGTCAGAGAAAGAGGATTCTTCCTAATAGAATTACGTACATTTACTCCTTACATAAAATATTTCTTAATTTTCTTTGCCAAGTCGTCTGTTAAACTAATTAAACTCAAATACTCACAACATCGCTTTGAAATAAAAATGCTCGTTAATCAAGCGCATGAAAAGTTTCACAGATTTAAAGCGTGCGTCCGAGGGATGCGCCTAGGTCTTATTAAACGATGTTCACTGCCTTTTTGCCGTGCACTACCGTAAGCAGAGTGGTTGATTTACTTCCGACTTAGATAACACTTGGCTCGGGACACGGGCATACTTTCGCGATTAATAAGGCAGATAGTAGAAAGTGAAGTAATTCAGCTGTTGTGGAAACGTGTTGTGAATGGATGTCGTCGAGCGGCGTGCTGCGTTTTGAGACACGTTCGCTCGTGTGATCCGACTTTCGTAATTTTTACTACGTAAAAAATCGTACCGTGAGATTGTCCACAATAAAATATCGCAGATTTTATCAGGCGGTATCCGTTAAATCATCGATTTTTCCGCTCTATTATAAAAGCATTAATTTGTTGATCGATAAATCGCCGACTCGTTTATTCGTTTCAACGGTTTGCGCTGAGTTTACGGAACGATTTATTACGTGAAATGGAGACTAATTTCATTTGCAAAAGGGAATTGAACTACTGATAGAAAGTTGGATCATTCGTTTGTCAGAATCAAGTTTTATTTTCATTCAGAGAGTATTCGAGCTGATTAGTTTCGCGGGATAGCCGCGTACACGTATGCACGTATCGCAACGGATCGTTGTACATATGTACGTATTCAATATGCCCCGAGCAGCTAGTACAATTATTCGCTAGACGTAGCATCGGCGTATCAAACTAGTGTCAAGATTTGACGTTGATAGAGTACGTGGAATAATTAATTTCATACTCATCGCAATATACAATTACCCTGTACAGCGATCTGTATGTGCAACTTCTTTTTGTCAGCATTTTATGGCCGTGGAAATGGGAAAGCTGGTAGCTGTTCCTTTATGAATGGCCTTTTCAAATCAGGAAAGTAATTATAACGTGCTTACAATGTTTCAACGTAGTTTTAACAATTCATATCACAATTATAGCACTGAGAGTGATTTACATTTACTGTGGTACTGGTGTTTAAATATGGATTTACGGAGTTCAAAAATAAATTACGTATATTTGCACATGTGCAAAAGTGGCTTCAGGAGAGATGAGTATGTTATAACTGCGCAAGTTTAGAGAGGATAGCAAACATAGAAGTAATAAGTGAAGTCTAGGATAATAAAGGATTAGTCTCATTCTCAGAGTATTAAAATCTCAGGAATAAAATTGTATTTTATAAAACTGCACTATTTTAATATTTGCTGAAATTAGATTTTGTTTAAAGCTAAGCTTTAACCGTAATTTTTCGACGGTTCGTTGAACGTTAGAGGGCGGATGACTACGTTTTCACTAGAGGCGTGCAGGACGGTAATAACTCGTCGCCCACGCGCGGAAGTGGCCGCGAAACTTGCTTCACACACTTGTGTATTCTTTAATAGGGAGGATCCGATGAAACTGATAGCGTTAAAGCGGTTGAATGAACGAGACGCGGGACGCGGCACGAGAACGTGAACCTAAAGAAAGAATGCATATCTGAATATCATAATTCCTCGAAGAAAGGGTTTCCGAATATTTTTCACCAGATCGTTGAACGAGGTGATAAATAATTGTGCATATTTCCAAGCGATAGCATCAACGAGGGATTTAATTCAGCAGAAACCCAGCCGATTATGTTATATGCATTTACTGAATGATTACAAAACGTCACTGCTGATTACGTGACTTCTGCTTTGAACGAATACAAATCCAATTATTTTCGCATGAGTAATTGGGAACAATTAGAACGTATCGTTTACATAATGAACAGTTATAAGCGATGGGTAAATTTTTTCCAGACTCGATATTGTTCTTAATAGAGCAATAAATTTGTAAACGTGCGATGCGTTCATTATCGAGGATTAAAGTGGAACAGGGAAACACCGTGACCTGTGCTCGATCCAACGAGAGCTTCCTCCGTGTGCGTTCCCTCGGAACAAATATTCTTCTTAACTTTCTATCACGCTTCGCGAAATACTTGTATCCTGTTCGTACGGATATTCTCTCGTGATGTTAATAACACGCTTGCGGTAATGTTTATGCGCTACTAAATCATACCCTTCCTCGTTCATCAATCCTACGTACGCGTCTTCAACGAATTTAATGATGTAATTCTTGGGAATTACTGCGCATAGTTGGAGTTTCCATTGCGTGGCAGCCGATTGGGTGGTACATGCGCGGCGGCGGCGGCGGCGTTGGGTAGGAAATATGGAAAGTATCTAGTTAACTAGTGTACGTCGCTGGACTGGAAACAAAAGGAGAGCGCCAAATTATCGGAGCAGCTTTGAGCGTAAACGCCGCCGTAAACCCGCGAGCGCGTATGAAGCCGAAACATATTCATGCCTCTACTTATCTCGCTCGTTCAATGGAGCCGCTCGTTACGTCAATTACCACATTTTGCAATCGTGGGGGCGCCGAATGTGCCTTTGTACGGCAGACCCCATGTTCGAACCGCTTCTCTAAAAGGAGATTTCCTATCGCGGGGCTCGTGACTTTATTTCAACGATTATATTAGAGATCCCTGCTCGCGTGACATACTAACCTTCGTACCTTAAACAAATGTTAAATAGACCAATAGCATACGTATAAAATGAAACTATTACGTTTCATTAATTATCCGAATGTTAGATTACATCGGTTCTCGTTTCGCGTATATTACATCCCCTTTGACAGGGAAACTGAAACGAGCCAATACGCGGGACAGTTTGCCAATCCGTTGGAAACGCTATTACTCGAACCAATCGACCGGCAAGCGTATTAATTCCTCGGTGCCGATTACCGCGACGTAACAACTTGATAGCTACGCGACAGTATTTAAATCCTGTCACGGGGACACGATCCCCGTCGCGCCTCTCTCGATTGCGACTGGCCTCGAGCGAAGAAGTACATGGAAAAAGCATAGGGCAGAGATTGCAAAGTGTTGGCCATTATCAATGGCCCGGCGCGAGGAGAAGGTATTGTGATGTACTCTAGTACTCGCGCTGATGAGAACGCGCGTCCAGGTGAGAAACGCCTCGGGACTCGGGACCGAATATAAGCGTAGAGGGAGATCACACGGCGCCGATAACATTGTTTCCCTTCGTCCAGCCACTTTTATTCCTGCTGCGAATACAGCCTTATTACATACCGTGGCATCGATGCGGCATTAGCATAGACCCCACATAGGCCGAGCGCTAGTTCCCCATTGATCCTGCTCCTTAGGAAATTCTCTATGGGAGGAGAGAGAGGATGCGTGTCCAGTGTTATAGCTCGTTAACTATTCCCGGCCCGGTATAGAAGTACCTGCTATACGGCCGCGGAATCTATACACGTACGCTCGAAAACACTTATGCTTTCCATACCGCGACCGTTTTTTTTTAGAGAAACCAACCGGGGAGGAATAATTGAGCGAAACGGCAATTACAATGGGTACCGGCTACTCCATCCTTTTACTCGGAAATACTGCTGACTTTTATTTTTTATCTCTGGTAATAACATAAGCTTAATGATAAGCTCTCTGAGAATTTAATTACCTCGACTTCTGCCGGGGTGGCTCTCTAGGAAATCCGTGCAGCTAAAAATTATCTTAAGTATTGCATTATGAATACGATGATAATACATGTTGTGTCCATTACGGTTTAATTATCTGTAATCGTAATTGCGGCTTTTTCATCATTACTATCTGCGACGACGGGATTGCTTTAATCCCGGCGTGAAAATGTTTATTATAGTTAATACGACGTGTAATTAGCCGAGTTTTGATCAGCGGGGCAATTTTAATGCCGTATAAATCGTTGTATTAAGCAATTTCGGGTGGTTAATAGCTATCATACTGTCGTCGAAAAGATCGTTCAACGGCAGTTATTTATCGGAGTACATTATCTTTTATAGGCGAGGACGACAGTCGCGTGGATCTGCTGGTCGCTGTGCGTTTCTTTATGCCTTCGCGAGGTCGCTTCGAAAACTGGTGAGTAATCTATCCTTACTTTATTCATGATCTTCTGATAACTAAACTTTTACTCGTCGATAAGTAACGAGTCTGTAATTAATCACCAACTATAGACAACCGATGAGAAACTCGTATGAAATTGTAAAGAAGAACGCGATAAAAGAACGGTCGTTTAATCCGTATGTGAGATTAGCAGAAAAACAAAGGGGGAGGGGGGGGGGTAAAGAAAGAGCGTTTCTCTAAAGGCAAATGGTGGAAGGGTCAGAACGCGTTTTCTCTTGCACATAAATCTATCTTAGCTGATTGCCAATTACGTCAGGTGGATGTTTGCCCGCGGTTTATCGTCGAGTGTATTCGCGGACGCTGGGATTGACGGCACGTGCAAAGATATTGCCTCTTACGTGCATTCTGTTCGATCCGACGCTGGTGACAGATTGTACAACAAGCTTGTCCACTTCCACGTTATCTAGCGTACTAACTTAACCCTTTAACCCTTAATTACCGGTTACGTGCGGGTTTTACGTGTTTCGCAGCGAGGATCCAATGTACCCGACTCGTCACGGGAACATAGTCGCTATAAGGATGTGCGGCAACCATTAATTGCGCGGGGATCGTTTTAATACCTCCTTAATTTCGTATGCAGCGCGTGTACATAAACTGAATAAATTAGTACAATGTTCCGGAGTTGAGTGTCTCAGTATAAACGAAATTGGCAGTAAACGTGTTCTAGAAATAATCAAATATCGATTGAATTTTTTTTTAATCTGTATCCAGATTAAAAGCTTTAATCAGGTTCATAGTCTTGGTATTATAATTTTCCGATCAGCGCACACAATCGGCCGGAATAGTAATTGTAGCAGCTGCCCCGTTACGTATCTAACAGGTTCGATATAGATCCAGTAGTTTCACGGTGCTACCACACGGAAGCGTTAATAAACGCTCTAAGATAACAGATAAGCCGAAAGGTGAGAGCCGAGGGGTCAGCCCTCGGCTATTTCGGATGAAGCCTACGAATTCCGTGCGATAATTGGAGAAAGGGAGAAAGGTGATATCTGGCAACTGTTACCACTAAACTCTCTCTCACTCTCTCTCTCTCTCTCACTCTTTAAATGGTCAAGCCGGATATCGTGGGAATCGACGGCTTGAAAACGTTTGACTCCCTTTCGCGCGTCGAGTTTGCTACCGTGCCTAAACCGTTTTCAGTTCCCGATCCATGTATCTACCTATCGAAACTCGAAACACAAATAACAATCTAATGCGACCGTCGAGAGCGGCGTACAGAGAACGTTCGATCGCGTTTAGTGTCCCAGCTGCAATTATCGTAGCCGCAACGCGATTGCTAGAAATTACATCCCATTTCCCTAACGCCAAGTCGTACTGATACGAATTCGAGATTGATAGGCGTTGCGTCCGACGCGGCGCGGCGCGGAGCCTCCGGCAGCTTTGATTATTATTACCAGCCGCAGCGGCGGACCGCTTTGGCAAATAGCATGCGCGCGGATTCAATAATCCTACGGTTCTATGATTAAAGTATACAGCACGTGCGTCGCTTCCGCGCGGGGGACAATTTAGATCGAATGGTAGGTTTTCAGCGGCACGGACGTGCTTTCACAAACGTTGCACGCGCGAACGATTGGTCGTCTCCGTTCTGTTTTACTTATTCCCTGTCAAATCGAACGAGGCGTGAACCTTGCTTATTTTCGTTATTCCCAACGATGATTTGACGTTCCGATTGCCATTATATTATCTCAATTCGTAGGTACTTCATGTTCGCCGTGCCGTTAAAAATGATAAATGATGCTGCGCTTTAGATGGGCTCGAGAATGAGGAAACATACTTTTATTGTAGAATGCATTACTAATAAGTTTCATAAGAATTCCGTAGAAAATTATATGTACGCATTTGTATGATCATGCGTGTACAGGCCTCACTGGCAAAATCTCTTTCCATAGGTTTGAAAATAGACATACGAATTTCTTGCTGGGTATTTTATTGTGTATCTGAATGAAAAAATATTGTAACTCCTACTGAATCTCTACTTGGATTGAATAAAAATAATAATTGTACATTTCCTTCCTCATTTCGATTCATTATCATTTAACCGAACACTACTAGCAATCCTAAACCTGAGGTACTGAGAGGTATCAGTACAGTCTATCTCTCTTGCTGTCTACCTGACGAACACACGCGAGTTTTTTACACGACTGTTCTTCCCAACACAGCGTTCGAATCGTGAACCGAATTCAGTTTCACTAAATTCCCGCGTCGACATGAGCCACTATGTTCGCGCTGGTTCCCCGTCCCGCATCACTCCTGTACGTACTTCCTGTCCATCCGGGGGAAATTATTGCGTCGGAGTGTACGTTTTATCCGTCTTAAGAAGCCATCTATACGCCAGCCTCTCGCGCGTACTTTGTACTCGGCTGCACATAGCCGTTCATCGCGTTACCCAGCCGTTTGCAGCTCACGAATCCAGTCGTTACCTTCGTAAACATCGATGCCAGGCCACGGCGGCGCGCGCTCGGCATATAAAATCGATATACAGCCGTAAAAGTAAGGCCACGTACCTACCCGAGCCGATCCTTCCGATAAATCACGCGAGATTATGAACCGGCAGCGAGGATATTCTTTCCGTTTTGTCTCGGCGCTCGCCCGGGGAACAAAGGTCCTGCCGCGCCTTCGCCGTGCCCTGTTCGTAAATTCGGTTTCACCCTTAACAACGCCGAGGGAGCCTCGACAATGCGCTTATCTACGATTCCATTTGCGGTTCATATACTCGAGCCCGGCCGCGCCGCGGTGATACACGAAGTAGGACCGGCGCGGCGGCGGCGGCGGCGGCGGCCCGGGAGATATGGGTCGGCCGATCGGCATCTGCACCTCTTCTGCTCCTTCAGTATGCACTTTCTAATGCAACGGCTTTCCAAGAAATGGCCAGGCCTCGGCGATAGTTCACCTCTCTTCCGTGGAAAGAATTCCTCGCGGATGTATTACATCGGTGAACCTCGATTACCTGCTGCTGGGAAGAATACCTGGCCTCGGAATGGTTGGTCGTGATGGTCGTTAAGTTTCAATGAGGCTTACGAAATATTTGATACATATTTGGAATATCGCGAATTCAATTAACGATGAGAATCGTCGCTCGTTTTACTAATACGGAAGCTTTAAAGTAAATATTACAAATATCTCCTACGTATATTAAGAAAACATAATCGTAATGCAGAAGTAACGATATTCGAATATATAGAATATTCTGTTTTTCTACTGATAAATCACGAAAATCGGATAGCGAAGTGAAATTTCCTGGTACGGTGAAACACAGGCGAAACGCCATAATTTTCCCGAAAACAGCGCGTCCCGTGTCGCGTGGTAAGAAGGATAGGCGAAAGTAGCTAGGAGTTAAATATTTCTCCGATCAACCGATAACTATTTCCTACATTCGACGAGCCTCGTTCACCACGCAACCTTACAACTCTCGTCTTGTCTGTCGTAAAGGTAAACTTTCTTCAAGTCTATTCAAAATCGAATTTCAACAACGAACAATTAGTTAACAAAACTTAAAACAAAGTTCTGGAGCAATTCAATTATTCTAAATGTTCTGATGGCGTAAGAATTGACTAAACGGTGCGAGGAAGATCGGGTTAGGATAAGTTCAAAGTATGTAGGTGAAGCGTGCGGAAGAGAAGGCAAATGTCATCGAGCGTTTTGTCGGGGATAGGTTTCGCGCGAAGGAGCGGCGGCGCATCTTCGTTCATCGTTTCGAAGCCATTAGCGCTCTACGGTAACCTTTTGGGAGAAAGATCATAGCCAGACTATACGCGTTCGCCTTTTGTGCTTTCCGCGTTTCGTGATTACATCCTTCGCTAGGTGAGAACAGTAACGCGCTCCCTTTGTGTGTATTACGGATCCCTGGAAGAGGTGCTTATTCGTTTAGTTTAAATGTTAAGAGATCCAGTTCGCATCTTTGGCACGTTTCTAGTGTTTTTACGATCTTTACGTGTAGACCAACGTTTCGCATTAAAAAAATGTTGATTTCCGTACACCTGTACATTCGAAGAGTAATTAAAACTGTTTTATCTACAAATAAATGTTCGTGTCTGTGGGCTAATTACAGTTTCGCAAAGTCGAACCGCGTTCGTAAATTATGAACGTCCGATTTTATATCGCGTATTTGAAATTCGCTTGGATACTCGGGACGTGCAATTTTTTCGAGATTATCGCGATTCGATCGCCATTAACCGTGCGTCTCGATTAATTCGCCTGATCGTTAAGCCGCGATAAAAATAGAATAACGAAGAGGCCCGCGAAGCGTTTCAACAGCTGGTGCTTGTGTAAGCTGTCGTCCGTACGACCACGGTCGAGGTAATCCCATAATCTTTTTCACCAAAGTGGACATTTTGCGTCGCTGAGTCACGTTTCCGGTCAGACAGATTTCTTGCACCTGTCTGCCCGAGTACAAGAGAAGTTCCTCAGTGAATTTTACATCGTTGCAGAATCCCCTGGCGTTGCTACAAGACGTTTCCTTACGCTGCTCACGAATTCGTTCGTTTTATTTGAAATCTTTGTGTTTACGCTGGTCGTAAAGTGACTCACGCGACTTTCCAGTATTAATTTGATATTAAGGATTTTGTCAATTTTTTTCAGGCTTGTGCGAGGTAGAGTCGGGCCAGTCCAACATCATTCTTGATATCGAAGAAAGCAGAGGAGACGGTGAGTACGAGTTTCCATATTTTATGTCAGAAAGCAGCAATCCCCTGAATTAATATTTAATTGCTACCATCTCATGAATAATTCTGCTTTAAATTACCCAAGTGAATGGTAACATCTCTGATAACTAATCTTCGTAAGATTTTCTGAAGAATTGTAATTATTGTACGATTCAAAGTTAATCTATCATGAAATGATAAAAATTCAGAAGCGCAATTAAACGCGATCCGCGCACGGTCTCTCAAACGTGACGAACGATAGTCTAGGCGATCGTTTTTTCGTACGAGGTTAACGCCCTATTAATTTCATCCGATGAGATGCCTGACGGGAAATTGTGCGGAAAGAAGAGAAAATCGGATGAGCCCGATGCGATTAAGAAACGTTGAATGTCGCTAATGAGATCGCGTCTACTTTGCTAGGATAGCATCAATTATCCGCTACGCGGACAGCGGACCGAGCCATCGGAAAGTCGCCTCGTACCCTCTTACTAAATCTAATGTAATAGCCTTTGCTATATCGAACGCGTTCTTCTCTAACGATTCGACTCCGCGGCCGAGTTTGCTACGCGTACGTACGAGGCGCAGCCGGTGAACTAAGCGCGCGAAATAAATTAATCGCTTCGCGCTTTAACAAGATTTGCAGCAACGAATACATAATATTCGCTCGTCACATTTTCTGAACGCGTTATCTTGATGGACGATGCTGTACACGATTAGCTTCTATAATTATGTTCCGCAAGTAGAGCGGTGGATCCCAGATGAAGATCTTACATTCTTGCGTGCCTGAGTATCAATTACTATGTTAATGCTACTGGGGAAAATTTATTTCCTCCGTTGGTTCACGCCCTGTGTTGAGGATATGAGTGATAAGTAGACTGCAGCTTCCTATGCAGAACAAAGCGTTTGTTGTGTCGGTGTAACAAATTTAGATTCGAAAATATCATTTAAGTATTCATGCATATATTTTAATAGACTGTGACACATTTTTTTGTTATTAATATAGTCTGGTGATAAGCGATTGTGTTAACGCGAGAAGGAACATCGTCGGAGCACGCATTTTCCGACTTTCGCATCAATCATACGCGAGTGTATTTACAGCCATCGGGTGTGCCCGGCCACGCGGCAGATTTAGATAAATCGGTTTGCACCTCCGTGCCCGCTCACGGGTTTTCATTTTTCAGCGATCGATCAGAAGACCGTGCCTGAGGAACTTCCGGTATCTGGCGATCCGCAGAACGAGACCACGCTGGAGCTGATCTTTCCCGGAAGGCAGCCCCGTTTCAAACTGAACGGCAAGAAGCTGCAGTTGCTCGAGCCACTGGACAGGGACGATGAAAATCTCTCGCACGTTGTTTTCCAGGTAAGGCTCACGCTTGAAATTCGCAACGGAACATTACCCGGTACCGTTGCCCGCAGATGCAAAACGAAATTTGTCTAATCCCGATCTGTTTGCCCGGGCTTCGTACCTACCGTGCCTTTACGCAATCGGCGCGATCGCTCATGCCGCGTGGCGTGTTTGTCCCGAGAAAGTCGCGTGTATATTTCCCCGCGATTCGTTCCGACCGCGTTACCTGACGTGTCGTTGAACGCGCGTAGCAGATACGGCTAATCAACCACGTACGTGTTTTTCGAACACGCTTCGCGCATGAAGAGTTCCCGACAGGGAAATCGATCCCCGCTGACTACAAATCGTGTCGAGCCCCCGAAGAATAAACACGTGTACTCAGAAAAACTAATGCTGATATTCTTTTCCCTACCATCCGGATAAATCCAGATTATTTGCATCGATTAAGTTCATAACGCAAAAAAACTATCACTAATTACCTCCATATCGGTTGAATCGGATTATCCTGTTGGATCAACGAGTACATGCCGTTTAAAAACCGCGATCACCGTTAGGATGAACGCTCCCGTTCGCTTCATAACGAGCACCGTGACGCGTGGAATCTGGTTCTCGCGTTCCCGCTGTTATACCCCGACTGTCGCGACGATCTAATATGGACAACCGTAGAAAAAAAATGTTTGCCAAACCCTTCCACTCGACAATCACTAATGAGGATGATCGAGCGGACGATTATCCGTTTTTCCCATAAAAATCTTTATCATAAATCTCGGTGAGGTGAAAAGTAGCGAGTAACAGATGGGATTTTTCAGAGTCGTCCGCGCTCCGAAGGGGGATAAGTTTTTTTTTTTCGGTGGGAACGAGATCCGATCGATTCTGCTCGGACGGACGCTGTGTCCCGCTCGGAGTTTATTCGAGGTCCGAGAAATACTCTTTGATCCTCAGAGAGGAATCTCGTTACTCGTCCGCGGCAGATTTTTTGCTCCCGACCCGCGGCAAATGAGCTTAGCGACCGCGACGAAGCCGGAAGCGGGAAACTTTTCCGTTGCGGTGCGACAGGACTGCGAACACGACCGGTAGAATTTCACCCGGCTACCGAGTCTTTATCGGCGTGCCTCGCTGACGTTTTGAACGCTCACTTAACGGTGACCAGCTGCTTTTACGGATCGCTTCTATCCGGCTCGAGATTGAACACGAGCTCTTTTAATTTACGACGGATGCTCCGTTCGATGTTTTGCTGTCCCGCGTGTTTACGCGCGGGTACCAAAAGGAAAAAGCGGAAAAGGATTGAATTATATAAAACGCGCGGTAACTGTTTTTTAAAATTCTTCGCTCTTTTTGGAACCGGTGTAACTTATATACCGTTTCGTGTTTTATCTCCATTATACGTGCTCTCGCGTTGTTTCAACATCCGATAGCGAAATAACCGGTCTCCAGCTATAATAGTTGCAAACAAACGTCGAGGGAAAACTGAAGTGGAACTGAATTCGTAATGAAACTGTTCATTATCGGTAATTACGATGGTACATAGTTAGACAGTATGGAATACCGTTCTACGTGGCCATATCAGCACCCGGGAATGCACGCTACTCTTATGACACGGGCGCACGGTGCAAGGAATGTGAAAGGTCTAGAGCAACGTTGTTCCGATATATACACGTTGCTGGTATTCCGCCGTTTTCACAAATTGACCGGATAAAATCCAATTGGCTGGAAACGGCGAGCACACGCGAGACCGTACATACGTAAATATAGATTTGTTTGGTGAACGGCCGAGAAGGGTAGATTGATTCGGGTCCTAACAATCTCGTACAGCAATTATCGTAATGGTGTAAATCACGGGTGTAGAAAATCACGACGCAGATCGTAATCTGCGTTCTCAAGTGATCGCGTACGTTTCCCGTAGGACTTTCGCGATTACACCAATGCGTTGTGTACTCTAGGATAGTTCTATTATTCATTTGCCAGGTCATACTTACGATAATCGATGCACAATCAGTGGCAAATGTGTGGCAATATTTGTAATAAAATTCAAGACATAAAAGAATGACACGATTCGTTTGTTTTGCTTTCAGTTAAGCTGCACAGTGAAGCAGACTAACAAGAAACGCACGATACCAGTGATAGTGCGGGTGTCCGACATAAACGATAATGCACCGAAATTCATTAACACGCCGTACGAGACTACGGTGCCAGAGGTAAGTCACTGTCTCGTTCCTAAGGATTATCTCGACTGGTCACCGGGTAACTGAATATCGTAATTCATTGGGAAATAATAAAGTACCATGCCGTATTGACGAACTATTAAAACGACGACGAACTGGGAGTCACCGTTTATATTTTCAATTAAACATTTTTTCACATTTTCCACGCAATTTCGCGTCGACCGGCGAGAAGCACCATAAATTGTCGCCCGTCGTGTTGAATGGCGCGCGCGTATAATAATCGCATACAAAATCTATTTGTAAGCGACGACGCGGTAAAAATATGCGAAGGTAATCGTGGTGATCGAACTGCGTATCGCGCTCCTAAGTGATTCGCGTTAGATTGTAAATACGGGTATCAGTATAGTGGATTACATTTCTCGATGAAGTTCAGCCACCGCGGTTCGAATACTAAAGGTAAAAATATAGTTGATAACAAAGCGCTAAGTTGAGAATTTATTATGCTTACCGAACAGGTTCTCGCAGTGATAATTCAGTTTCTGGAATAATAACCATTAATTGTCAACGTTGGCTGCCACGTTTCGCAAGAACGTTATTTCTGATTATTCATTACTCTCCATTGGCAAATTATTTTCAGACTGGTTTACATTCGACTATTTTAAAATTCGTTTTAAAGGATGTCATTATGACCAAGTAAAATAGAGTTCCATTAAAGTAATGTGCAACTTTCTAGCAGTCACTTAGGATATTATTATGCATGAAATTAAATGAGTAACGAAGTCGATCTTCCACGCAAGAAATTGTCGAGGATGATATTAAAATTCTGGATTCTTCGGGGTCGACGAACCTGCTACATAATGGAATTTTTACTGAAGTTAAGCACATTATGAATGCAAAATCCGTCGGTGAATTTCGTGATTTATAAGCTATTAACGATAACATCAACCGTAAATTTCCATAAGCTTTTACAGTTACCCGCAATTTAAGCTTGATGAAGGTTTCAACACTTCTATAATAACAGCGTTAGAATTATATAATAAACGTAATTAAAAAAATAGCAAATACGAAGCTAGAATAAAATCCAGCAACATCCGTATTAATAGACTTGGAATTCGAGCTGTTCAATTTATCAGTGAACTGTACACGCCAATTTAGGTGCCCAATTTGCCCAATAACTCTCTGACTATCTCATGGATCGATTTCGTACTCGAGTTGTCACGTAAACGAGGCAGGGAGTTGAAGCGATCAGACATCATGCAAGCTAGTTAATTATTCCCAATGGGTCTTCATTCAGAATCGATTCGTCGGATATCCGCTCACTCAAGATCAATTCTATTGTCCTCCATTTATGAAACAGATCGGCAAACGGTTCATTAAGTAAAATTCTGTTTCTGCTGAAACGAACAGACTTTCGTTGGCTCGCTGGAATCCCTGTAGGAACGGTGGGCATCTCGCGGCTATACCGGTTAATCCTGCCACATAGATGCCGTGGCACGCATCGGCATGCGTTTCTCTCCCTTCGATTCCATGTTAATACGCATTTTAACGATCGCACATTTTATGATGGCAAACAGGCAGCCGCGTTATCATCGGGGTGCATCTGTACAGGTATCGCGTAACGGTACGGCCGATGCCGAGGACTGTCCACGGCTGTTTGCTCGTTAAATGCCACGCGGGGGACATTATACGAGACACGGTCGACGGGAACGTTGCGTTGTTACAACAAATGGTATTTACGACCGTGTTAACGAACAAAGAATAACCGAGTTCTTTGCGACCAGTAGCCCCGGTGGAATAATTCCTATTCGTTTAGACAGATGCCATTATAACTACATTGTACATAGATCTGTAGAGGGACGCGTAGATCGGTGTTTGTTAAACGACTTTAACCAATAGCCTTTTATGACCGAGAGATTTTATAGGCTCGAGTAATTGGAGTTTGCGCGTTCCAGTAGCTTCAATGAGGTCGCTTAACGAACATTTTCTAAACGAGCCGAAGAAAATCATTCACCATCAACAATTTTTATATTCTGTTTTCACATTAATGACCCTAAATTTTGTTGTAGTGTACTTGTAGTAATAGAAGAGGGATAAACAGCGACGAGGTAATTTTATAAAAATGCAACAGCATTCCTCGGATATAATTATAGCTTTATAGTTGACACTTGTTTTATTAGAAGAGGACAGTTTATGACAACTGGTTCTGCCGATACAGTATGATATATCTAATATTCTCCGGAAGACACACCTCGCCAGCCATTCAATTAAATCTGTACGTTCCACTTTCTCGTAGGCGTGTATCAATGTTTCCACTATTTCCCTTGATCGATACATGTCCAGATACAGTTACAATTTAGAGCCGAGGGAAAAACGTGAGCGTAGACCGCGGCTATCGATTATCTCCGAATTAATAGGCCCCTTATATCAACAGACCGTGGAAACGAAGGGAGAGCTTTCGATTTCGCAGCCAGCATGACCTATCGGCTACGATTGCGGAATCGCTGAGGTACCCCTCGATCGAGATCGTAGCTCGTTCATGATCCTTGCTCAAACTAATTAATCTGCCGCGTGGTAGGCCAGGCAACGCTTACGCGGAAGAGAAACGGAGGAAGCTGGATCGTTCCTCGTGATAATCGCTCGTGGCAACTAAAAATTGACCGCACCGCGCTCCGAGATATTCGCTCATAAGTTCGTATCACGGTACGTTCTACCTGCGACCGCGAAACCAATCGGGTAACCACCATGAAAGTGTATTCTCGTCGTTCGTACGGTAGTCCGATTTATCGCAGAATTCATCGAAAATCCACGACTACACCAAGCAAAATTTCGTAAATTATCTATCTACTTAAGTTAATGGAAGGCTGCGCATTTGATTTATACGTAGAGATAACTGTATATCTGATCACCGAGTTAATCCTAATTTGAATTTATAAAATTACTGATTTAC